CAAGAGTACATCTCGCAGCAGCTCGGCCTCGGCGCGGGCGCGAAGCCCTGCTCCTTTGTCTTCCACGGTGGTTCGGGCTCCGACATCAACGACATCAAGGCGCGGCTCGCCCCGCCCCGCCTCCGCGCCGCCCTCTCGTCCGACCCCTCGACCTGCCCCGGCCGCGCAGGAGACGATCTCGTACGGCGTGATCAAGATGAACATCGACACCGACACGCAGTGGGCGTACTGGGACGGGATCCGGTCCTACTCGGAGGAGAACCGCGCCTACCTGCAGAGCCAGATCGGCAACCCCGAGGGCCACGACAAGCCAAACAAGAAGTTCTACGACCCGCGCATGCCGGTGCGGTCCGCCGAAGAGACCACGGTCGCACGGCTCGGCCAGTGCTTCTCGGACCTCAACTGCGTCGACGTCTTCTAACCGACGGACGCGGGAGCTGCTTGGTGCGGCGGCGGGATATGCCGGCTTGGTCGCCTCGTGTGTGCACACGCGCGTACACGCTTAGTACGCGCGACACATCAGAGGTGCCCCTGTGGCGCCCGTGCGCTGTGGCCTGTGAGCCGCGCGACCCTTGTACACATGCACATCACATGCACAATCCAGATACGTACCGATTGTCCTGAGGACCCCACTATCCTATAGTCCCACAAAAACACAGCCACGGCAGGTGTAGATTCTTTTTGCTTGGGCGGCACTCATGACGGGGTAGGTAGGGTAGGTCTGGGCCCTCCCCTCGGGTTTTTCCCTCTCTTCACGCCGGAATTTTGGCCGACGTTTTTTGATCTCTGGGTCAGTGGGGGGCCGAGCCACCTCGGGGTGGCGGGCGGGCGGGCGTTTTGAAAAACAGAAAACAGAAAACAGAGGGGGGCCAGGGCCCCCACTACGATTAGACACAAGCACCAGGCTCCTGGGACAAAGCGAGCAGCAGCAGCAAGCAGTTCAGCGGAGAAGGGGGGGGGGGAGGAGCCGTTGCGCAGCCAATGAAGCCCGCAATGGCCTCGCCGTACGAGCGCAGCTTCTTGGCCGAGAGGCGCGAGTCCAATGGCTTTGCGCCGTGGTGGTCCTCATTGTTGAGCGGCGTGGCACGACGAGGTGGACGCGGCCTGCCAGTCGCAGCGGGCTCGGATCGGAGTCGTCAAACGGAAGCACGTATTGCAGACCCGCCGCGATTGCAGAGAGAATGCGCTGGCCCGAGGCATTCGCATCGAGGACTGGAAAGCTCAAGCCGTCTCGCTGCAAGTTCGACAGCAGCGCGCGAAGGAGGCGGCAATCGTAGCGGTCGCCGTCGGGCGCAGGCGGCAGCGCCCTCGGCGTCTCGGCCTGGGTTTGCATGAGTCGCGTCATCGCATTTGGACGCATGCCGGGGGTAGCAGGGGAATCCTCGCCTCGGCGGTCGCCAGCACTTTGATGTTGCAGCCAAACATGTCTCGCAGAATGCCGACTGTTGTCGAGGACGGTGCCGGTGCCCGAAAACTCCGTCGTCCGAAAGCACTTGACGGTGCTGGCCGTGAGCTTGCCAGCAGCAATCTCCGGCTCGGCTCTCTCGAGTGCGTCGCTGACGACAAGGGAGAGAGCCACCTCCGCCTCGTGCATGCGGCCCGATTGGTGATGCTTCTTGCCAAGCTCGACGCGAACGACGACGGGCACCTTCGGCGCCATGCCGGAAGGGGCACGCGCCTCTGAAGGTCGAGGCGCGTGGCTCAAAGCCGGCGCTGCGCGGGTGCGTGACCATCGCCGCAACCAAGACATGTTTTTGCTCGCCCGACCATCGCATGCACATGTACATGTTGACATGTTGTGCATGTGCATGTCATGTGCATGTGCGAAGAGGGCTTCAACATTCAACAAACAGGAATCGAGGATGACCGCATGTCTGCATCAGACGTGTCATCCGTCCCGATCGTGACCAACCAAAGCCACCCCTCTTCTCAGATCCGCGCTTGCCCGGTTCCTGAACCCTCTGCCGCTCCCAGCCGTGCTCGCCGAGCCTCCGCCACCTCCACCTCCGCCGCCCCACCCCCCCTGCGCGCGGGCCTTCTAGGCCCGCGGGTAGTCTCCCCCCATCCCCAGGGCCTCCAGGGCGCTCGCACCTCAAACCTTTCATAGACCAGCGCAAAGCGCCATAGGACGTATTTTCTTGTCAATAAACAGAACTGTGCTTGTTTTTTGGATGCAGACGACCGTTTTGGATGCAGACGACCGTTGGGGTGCAC